GTTTGCACAGAGGCATTTAAGTTGGGCCCCCGATGAAGGTGTCTTACCGGCTGGAGTTCCTTTGTGCTGCTCTTCAGGCGCTCTCCTGCTGACCTGTGTTCCTTCTCCAGGCTCTGGGCATCTATTGCTGGCCCTGGCATCAAACTGGTAGGAGTGTGATGGATTGAGGTTCCCCTCCCCTGGCATCTCTAGTTTAAAGCCCTCTTCACCATTTACAAGTTGCTAATGCCTTAGCTTAAACGTTGAAGTGCTGCATAATAGATTTTTCACTGCCTCTGTCACTGACTTTGCTCTGTTTCTTGCCATCTGAAGATGATCATCTTCCAATCTAGCTGGACGGGTGTTAGACCATTATTGCCTCAGGTCTTTTCTTCATTGTTTTGCTGTAGCTTGTCACCCCTCTCTTGAGAAGGCTGAAGCAAATGTTTGCTTGTGCCACAGAGGCAAGTTGGCAGCTGAGCATCCTAGCTTAAGCACTGTAAAGGTGGAATAACCTAATACAACCTGTTGTGAACCAGAGCGACTGAGACACATACTCATCCCATTCTACTCCCTATGCTATAAGTGGCAATATCCAGCAGAGAGGCAGTGGAGCCCGATAAACTGCAGTAACATCTGAAGTCTCCAATGCAGGACTTGCCAGACAGTCTGTAAGAGCCCTTGGGCTTCTTAGCTTTAGGAATGGGATTATCTTGAAAGGACAGTAATGCTTCCAGGGAAAGCAGTGTGGAAATTTTCTAAGTTAACCCTTCAGCTTCTCATCTGTGGCCTTTGTGAAAGTGCTGTTTGGTCTTCCGAGAGCGCTATCTGCAACATAGATCCTTGGGTTCTGTTTTTTGTAGAAAATTTTGCAACTCCTTCCAGAAAGGATTCATCAGAGATGGCAATTTCATAGTATTGGTAAGTAGATTTTCTTTTTTTTTTAATCTTATTTTTTATTAGTAGCTATTAGTAGTTTGTGCTACTCATTTTCTTAACCTTTAAGTGGCATAACAGGGATTATGTTCTTGAAACTCTTGCAAACTAGAGGAAGAAAAAACAAACAAACAAACAAACAAACAAACAAACAAACAAACAAACAAACAAACAAACAAACAAACAAACAAACAAACAAACAAACAAACAAACAAACAAACAAACAAACAAACAAACAAACAAACAAACAAACAAACAAACAAACAAACAAACAAACAAACAAACAAACAAACAAACAAACAAACAAACAAACAAACAAACAAACAAACAAACAAACAAACAAACAAACAAACAAACAAAAAACTCCACCAGTGTAATGAATGCTCTTCTAGATAGAATTAAATCTGGGAATCTGGAAATAGAACAGTGGCTGAGAAAGAACAAGGGCAGGTGGAAAGTTGCTTTGTAATTATTTTTTGTCCTAATTTTTTCTCTCTTAGTAATAAGTTTCAAAATTGGGGTGAGGTCTGTATTTGTAAATGGGGAATGCTGATATTATCCACATTAATGACTTGAGAATCATTTACTTTTAATGTACACACCCCAAAAAGTCCTTGCGGAAAGATGTTACAGGCTATGAGGAAGCTATGACAGGTGATCTTTTTTTTTCCTTCTGGCATTGAGAGAGTTGCCTGAGGATACCAAGTTCACCAAGATTAAATTGGAGATTGCCAAGGACTTGTTTAAAAGTTACTATCAAGTCTGACCGAGAACTCTGACATCTTACTTCATAAAGAACAAACAAACAAACAAAAATATATATTATTTTCCTCCTTCTTTTTAGGGTTGATTTTAAAGAAGCTTCTTCACACTGGAAATTCATTAAAGGTATTGGAAAAAGTTGCATACTACTTTTGTCTAAAATACTTAAATGCAAATAAGAACATAAGGGCGAATTTTTATGGTAACAGCACAGGAGTGAGAACCAGATCGTGACTTGTGCGTCATGAAAGAATGACTTCAAATTATCAGCTTTACCTCGGTAGAACTACTTACAGTAGTAATGTGTTTATATAGAGTAGCCAAGTTAAGAATGTGTGCAAATGGGTTGAAGGATTTTTCATTAAAGCAGAAGTAAGCCTCAACAGTTCATTGTTAGGGGCAAGGAATCTGGTTTTGGGGCTCAGGCTGTGGTTTTGGGGCTCAGGCTGTCTTGGAAGTGGGATATTATCTATACCAAACAGACATATTGGTGGGTAGAGTAATAATGGTTGACCATGGGACAAAAGCCACCCAAGTGTAACATGTCGTTTTGGTACTGCAGCAAACAACCATGCCACTTCTCTGTAAACCACCTGCAGGCTTGGCTGGTGCTGAAATTCTCCAGTGTGAGAGCCAGGAAGGGACTGCTCTAGGACTCCATCACCTTTCTTGAAGGAATGGAAAAGGGTAGAACGGGTCCTTCTGCTGCAAAAAGCTCACTCTGTTGTTATAATTCACGAACACATTTAGAAATTTTATGATGGTCTTTGTATTTTCTGAAAAATTCACATGGCATCTTGCAGTGCTGTAGTGAAGCATGTGACTAGACGTGTTGATTTTCTTCCTCTTCTTTCGGAGAAAACCCTGTGAAAGAGATTCTGTGGGGCAAACAGCAGTGAAACTGCCAGGGTTGTCCTTGCATTTCAGCAGGAGCAGCAGATGCACTAGCTCGGCTCTGCTGATTGCTGGTGGTTGTACTGTCTGTCTGTTCTCATCTTTTCTACCACTCCCCTTCTCCTTTGCCCTCCAGGACAAATGGAAATGCTTTTGTATGTTCTGGGACAAGTTAACTTGTTCTGGGTTTTTTTCCTTTAAGATACGGCGAGAGGGCGTGCGTCTCTTTCTTTTGTGGCTGCAAGCACTTCAAAATAACTGTAGTAAAGAACAATTATGGATGTTTTCTTGCTTGATTCCTGGATTTTCATCACCACAGTCTGAATATGGCCCCCGAACACTAGATAATCTCATTAATCCTCCAATTAATGTTCAAGAAAGTAAGTAATTTGATAATATTACTCAATTCTCTACGTAATTCAATTCTCAGCACAGAAAAGGCAAGTTGAAGTAACAAAGAACTAACATACATATATACCCAGGGAGATTATGGAGCTGTTAATGAGTTTCTTGGCAGTTTAACAGGTCGTCTTCCAATAGTAAGTTGTCTTTTTGTTGTTGTTTTTCAGGGTGGGTTATTTTTTGTTTTGTTTTTAAAAGTATGGCTATAGTAGCTTAACACGTAGCGGGTGAAAATAAACTGGCCAATTTTATGTAATTCTTCTTAAGAATTACAAGCAGATGCTGCATCTGCTGCAAACTTGCACAGGCGGATTCTGCTTGTATTGAACATTTGCACTGGCTTTGGCCATGCTCTACGGAGCAAGCTACACCAAGCAGTTTCTGGCATGGCCTTCAAGGGAATGAGTGGTTGTTACGGCAATGTGTAAAGCCAAATGGTTGATCTTCCTGCTGTGTCTGTGTATGACCAGGCTATTAAAGCTGTGGTATTCTTGTGGCTCGGAATCTTCCAAAAGAATTGGACCTTGTAAACTGCAAAACCTGAGGTCAGAAAAGTCTGCATCAGTGGAAAGGCTTGAGCATTCTGAGATAAGCTTTTTATACTTTCTAGATTTTTTTTTTCCTAAATGTGAAGATTGTTATCTTGACTCTAAACAATAGAGTGAGGATGATTTTTCTCTGAAGATGATTCTTATGACAGTTTTTCCTTTGACTGTTCAGTCTAGCAGTAAGTATCAGATACTGGTTACTTTGGGGAGTCTCTTGCCTCATAACTCAATTTATTCCCGTTAGTAGGATTTTAAGCTCATTTATTAATGAATTGCAATTGGATGGGGTCATAAGTGCAAACTGTGCATTCACATAAATGTGAATAAGAAGCTAACCGCTTTTTCCTCTGAACATTAAGCGCTGTTGCCTTTTTTTCCACCTCCATCCAATGTTTTAGAGGTGACAAAAGCATTGCTTGTAGAAGCAAGCAGTGTCTCCTTGACTGGTAATTAAATTTACTGAAACTTAGCAGATGAATTTCATGGCAGGGTAGCTCTGCAGATAAAAGTTTGCTACATACTTTAAGCCCTGTTTTGGAGTTACCTTGTGTTATATCTCTACAGAAGGAAAGGAGGAACAAATCTAAAGGGATGCAGGCAGCATAGAAATGCAGAGTGCAAAGAGTGAAATGCGAACATCTAACTATAGGAACAAGAGAAAAATAAACTCCAAAGTAGCTTCACTGTAGAGGCAAAGGAATGATAGAGCTAGTAAAACTTAACACAAATGTAACTGATCAACTGCTAATTGAAGAAAACGGTGAGAGATGTAAATAAAGACTTGGCATTTGTGCAACACAAATGTTATACTATTGTTTGCATAAATTCCAAAAGAAATGGATTACGTCTTTTGGAAAAATTGGGTCTTGGCAGGTAGGTTCCCAAGGTGCATAGGGAGAACTCAGCTATTATCTGCTATGTTTTTATATATGTAAGAAATTAGTTCTATGGTGGTTTATTAGATAAAATTTCCAGATTTTCATTGATCTATGGGTGGATTGTTTAGCCTGTAACTGTCTCTGCTTACCCCAGTACATTTCTACTTTCATAACTTTGTAGATATTTATGCATGAGAAGAAATGGTCTCAATGTTAGATGCGCTTTTTTCTTTTTTTTAAATAGCTCAAGTGACTATAGAGGAAATCACTCCACTTGTTCCTCCACAATCAGGAGATAAAGGACAAGAAGATTTAACAAGCTATTTCTTAGAAGCACTTTTGAAATACATAGTAATTCAGGTATGTTCTGTAGTTTTCAAGCAAACAAATATGAAACAACTAACACCTGTTTGTCCATTACAAGAAGACATTTACTAGTAGCACTGCAAATGTATATAAAAATGTTTCAAACATTCCTTCTCCTTGCCCCTCCCTCAAGTGTCCTTCGTAAAAAGCAAATTCTCCTAGAAAATCTTCACTTGTCTTCTGTGTGAAGATTCATAGGTCTGTTACCACAGGGTCTTGCATCAGATTGCAGCAAGAAAAACAAGACTTGTCAGTCACTTCCAGTAATGCTGATTCCAGCTCCCTTCCCATTTTCACCTACCCCTCCCCGCCCTGTTGCCTTCAACCAGTGGAAGGATCAACCGGGCTCGCTCTTACGTGGGTTTTGTGGTAGTCAGGGGCTTTGCTTTTCAAACTAAGGGGAAACTTCTAACTGAAAGCACTGGAGTTTTGTGATACGGGCTTTTAATGAGTCCCAGACTTTTGCTGGCCTTTTTCCTAGGTTTATACTCGGGCTAGCTGACAAAACCAAACAGAAATAGGATGTCAGACTCAATTGTTTGTAAGACTGGGACTGCCAGTGCCTGTGCTTAGGGTCATATTTTTCCTCCAGCTCTCTTTCTGGAATTTCTGCTGTTACAGTAGATTAACCATACAGCCTGTCCATTCTTTAATGGAAACACTCTGAGCTACTGGAAAGCTCTGGTTAGCAGAAATGCGCCAGGGTGTTTAGAGCGTGACACGGAGATGATGGCTTTCGAGCAAGAGCTTGTGGGGTTTTGTTTGTTTGGTTGTGGTTTGTGGTGGTTGGGTTTTTTTTTTTTTTTCCTGATCAACAAGATATTTACTATCCAGGTCTTGCAGGGATGGTGCCATGACTCCTGTTGGTATCTTAACTGTACTTTCTGGGACTTTAGTTTTAGGAGACTTGTAAGCTCAGGTGTAATACAGCACGCTGCACAGAGAAAATTTGGGATTACTGCTACAGCTGAGCAAGTGAACCTCTTCAAAAGAGAAGCAATGGGAAACGTACATATTTGGAATACTTCAGATCTGACAAAGCTTATGAGTTAGGTTCTGCTTGAAAGTAACTGCGCTGCTAAGATTACACTCGCTTAGTGGCATTGCTATGTGAACACCGGGTAATAAGATCTTGCAGATCCTGAGCTACCTAAAAGGCAGATTATGGAGCTGAACTGTGCACAGAAAATGAAGAATATCTAGTCCATGGTGTGCAAATCAGGCGCACGCTATGTCCTTCCCTTTGTACTTTGACACTTCCGTGATCTCAGCCAGTAATTCAAATGTCTAGGACAGGGCATGGCAAGAGCTCCTATCAAAAACTGTGGCCTAGCTGTTATATTTTATGTAATTAATTTGCTGGCCAGTTAGCACATGCTGCTTCTGAGCCTGCTCTGCTGTCATATGCCCAGCAAACTGCTTGACTGCATGACATGCTGTAGGTGTTCCAGGGTTCTGCCTTCTGGGTCAGACTTGTGCAGCAGAACCCAGCTGGGTATCTATCCATAAGTTTTCTTCACACTTTTGCAGGTTGTGTTAGAGAAGATGGACAGTGCACAAATATGGCCAATGTTAAACTGAAACATTTCATGGCTTCTCTTTATCTGTCTTACTCTGTGAACTTGCAGTGCTGGAATAGTTTGCAACCTCATTTTGTTGCTTCCAGCATCTCCCAGTTTGAATAGAGGTCATCATACTTGTAATTTGTAGGGTAAGCTTAATGATGACTGTTCACTTTGAATAAAAATACCCCTTACATTCTTGAAGACAACTGCCCTCGCTGTAATAAATTGGTAGGATTATATTTAAATTTAAATAAGTCATTGAGACAGGTGTCATAGAACTTGTTCACTGTGTGAATGCTAAAGTCTTTTGTGAAGTCTCTTGAGGCACTGATAATTTCAAGCTGAATAGTTACTTCTTTGATATTAAGTTCTGCTAAAGGACTTTGTCACTAATTTCTACGTATTAGTCACCCATTCTATTGAATTATATTGAATTATATATTCATGATCTGTGAAAGTAGATTTGTGTAACTCAACTTCGAAGTTGTATCTTCTGCTGCTTGTGGTTGACAGATTTGTTAGTTTCATATTGCCAACTGCACAAATGAATCCAAGTACCTATTATAATGAATATATGGACACTTGTTAGTTGAAATGTGTTAAAAGAAATTGTCAAACAAATGTTCAGAGTAGCATGGGTAATTTTCCTTTTCTTATAAAACATTTTGAAATATAAAACCAGTTTTATTAAAAACAATAAATTTGGGTTTACTCCCTGACTTGGCAAGATGGCCATTAATGCAGATGTATTTCTATTGGTTTCAGTATTTGATGTGTTCAAGTTCATTTTGAAGCAGCGTTTTGGAAGAGAACAGTCTTTTGTTTTATTGACATTTCCTAGCTAGTTTCTGTTCCATCTTTCTAAAAGTGTTTATTAAAATGCATATGATTTTGTTCCAAAGAAATAACTTACAAAGAAGCCATTTCATCAGTCATCTTTCTCTTCTACTTCTAGATGTTTACTTTATCCAACTTCTTTTTTTAAGGTTAAGAGTTTAGAATGGAAGAACAAGGAAAACCAGGAAAAGGGATTTTCATTTTTATTCTCAAATTTTAAGAAATACTACTTACCTTCTATTTTCCCAAACATCTGTAAGGAGACCAGCTTGTATAACCCTATACTTGGTAAGTGTTAGCACAGCTGATAAAATCATTACATTTTCTCTAATAGAGAGTATAGCAAAGCAGTTTTTTGCTTGAGTCATGTTGCCCATAAAGAACACTCTCAAAGTATTTCTTATGAAAGAACATGTTATGGTTCCTGTTTATTGTTTTCAGTTCTCTGTTTGTGGAGGCACCTGACCCTTTCATTAAGAGTCAGTCTTGCTATATTAACGTGATTCAGGTAAATTAAATGTTCTTGTAAAACAGTTCTGTAATGTGACTTCTGTTGTTGATTTAAGTTGTGGTCTGAAGAGAAACTACTGCTGCTGAGATAAAAGGTGTTACTGTGCTGTTCTTTGGGGGATGTTGGCTGTATCTGTACAGAATCATAGTGTTTGGATCATACGGTGCTTGCTCGTAGTTCAGACAGGGCAAAGTTAGTTATGTTTTTTGTGTCAACTGTATTTTGTCGAGAGCTTGTAATAGAGGAAGCTAGGGTTTAACACAATCTTTAAAGCTGATGGTGCTAGAATATATCTTTCTATATAGAGAGCAGAATTTTAGGTGTTTGCTAAGCAAACCTAACTAGAGTTTGCTCAGATGTTTTTAGCCCATTCTAAACTAGAACATCATTTGCAAATCTTGATTTTGCTAGCTCAGGTTTGCATGCACCCATGCACATCTTGGTTGTAAGCCAACAGAGTTCGAGACTCTTGTTTGCAAAGCAATACCATGTACACAAGCTTTAAGCTGCCATTTCATTACTTGAATAGTACAGACACCTCACTGCTCCTCTTACCTGTTGATGCAGCGTCTCACAAGGATTAGTAGTGATCTCCAGACACAATTTCATATTCTAAAATCAAGCTGTTAGGGCAGTTTGTTGAAAGGGTCTTAGTTTCTGCCAGTCCATGTACATGTATTTGGATTGTGGCTTTCTTCAGAGATGGATGTTTCAAAACCACGTTCTCCTGGGAAAGACAAACAGTGGACCTTCTCATCTAGGGGAGAAGAAACAGTATAAATCCAGCCATAACCAACAGTAGAACAAGAGTTGTGTGAAGATACTGAAGAGGTTCAGTGACAAAATAGCTAGAAGAGGGATGGTAAGCAATGCTGAGAAAGCAAACCTACTGCTGCTTGACATCCTCGAACAAGAAATGTGGAAACGGTATTTTCTTTTTCTATGAAGATCTTGGTTGAGTCTTCCACAGAAGTCTTACTGTAGTCCTCTCTTTTTCTGTGAACCATAAACAAGAAACTTCCAAGGCCTTAGTAAAGAAGAGGACAATGGGGAACAAGAAGGAGAAATGTGCACAGATCTCCAAAACTACTGTCAGTGCCTTAAACTGTGCAAAGTCAGCAACAATGATGAGGATTTTGGGAATAATACAGTGATGAAAGCAACAGAAACACTGGTAAGTAGAATAGTCTTTTCTCCTCTAAGAAGTAGTTCTCTGGCATGCATCTTCCCACCCTATTTGAAAACAATCCTGTGCCTGTTCTGAACAAAATTGACAGTATTTGGGCAGAAAACAGGGCAGACTTGGGCACTGAGCCTGCTACTAAAAACAGTTCTTATGCTACTGGTCGTAATGTTTAATTTAGGAGAAGTCATGAGATACAAATCAAAACAGTAGTTTTAGTAAGCATTGATACAGGGCTTTACTGGAGATAGTATATTGGATTGAGGGTTTTTTGTTTTTTTTTTTTTCTTTCTGTTAGGGCATATTTTCAGATAAGTATGTTGGTTACAGTAACAAGCACCAAGCATTCCAGTTACAAGAAGCTAGTATTGTGCCTCCTCCAAATTCTGCCTTGAATATTACAGCCTTAGAAGAGCCCATAAGATTGTTTTTTGGGGGTTTTTTTGTTTGTTTTGTTCTGAATGTCTTTTAACATCTGTTTAGATTCTGTAAGATAGTCTTCAGAAACTGTTTAGAAAGAACTACAGATCTGGCAGTAAGATTCCAGGGGCATTGTTTCTTCCATCATAGTAATGTGCCTTTCTGTGCCATTTCCAAGCCGTTTAGAGGGGCTCCTTCATTTACAGGGAAACAATAAAGTGGGCTGTCCTACAGCTCTCTGCCGCTCTTCATTCCCTTTGAACCCTTTATTGCCTTAGAAAGTAAGCGTGGTCAAAACTACAAGTGTCCACCATTATAACTGTGGTTTTGCTAGCCTTTTCATTTTCTACCCTGTGTATGTCTTCCACCACCTACAGCTTCCTGCCCTTTTTGGCACCAGCTCACATCAAGTTCCCAGAGGGGGAAGGGCGGGGGGTGGGAAAAGCCCAAAACAGAAAGGAAAAATGGAAAGCTGGGGGAAGGGAGTATTTCCTTTTGTGCTATTTAAGTCAATCTAATAAGGTCCTGTTTTGCTTTGGTTTTATGTCGGTGTCCTCATCTGGAGCCTCGACACCTACTTCCAAGATGGACAGAAATGTGAAAATACAAGAAATGACTGAAGGAGGATACATTTGAGAAGCAGCTGCAGCACATAATACAGTTGAGAGGAAATAGAGAGAGAGGATGTTCTGAGAGGATGTTGTGAAACTGCAGAAGGAGACAGTGTACTGCAAAGACATGTTTACTGCATGTCTACTGGATGTCTTGTTCTTTTGAAAATACTGTCAGTATTGCAGCCTTCACGCCCTGCTGAATGCTAATAGATACCAGAGAGAACCGATTTTTGCATCTTTAAATACTGGGCTACCAGGCATTTGCTTCCTTTTTTCACTGATTGTGCTGTTATATGTGCTTCTGTTTAAGATATATTAATTTTTAATTTTCTTACTAGCCTGCTGCTTTCCACAGAATGAAAACAATGTACTGTTTTTTATTTGTAGTAAATAAACTCTCTGTAAGCTTTTAAAAAAGTATTCTGTGCATTTGTTACTTACTGAGGTGGATGGTATGCAAGAGTCATGTAGTTTTTTTCCTCTAAAAATAATGCTTCCATTAAAAATAGTGGATGTAACTTTAAAGTCTGTTCTGGAAACATTCCTCAGTTTAGCAGCATTGTGATGAGTTTATCACTACTTTTGTATGTGGCTGTTGAAATGACACTGAGATACACCAGCTTGGATATCCTCAGTGCTGGTGTTAGATGTTGTGTTGTGTATTTGTAATGTTAACAAGGAAACCTTTACAGCAGTCTGGCAGGTAGGCCGTATTCACTTCAAATGCCTAAAAGTATATATGGCTGCAATAAGTTAATTGTAGTAAGTAAATAAGTAAGTAAGTTAAATAGTAGCTGATCATTTCTTCGCTGCTATCCAGATTTGTTCCTCCTGGATTATGATACCATAACCTGGCGGAAGTTATGCTGGATCCCTTAAAACAACTCTTGACCTTGCATTAGGAAGATATAGTCAGGGAACAACTTTATATTCTTCAGCATGACTACTTTGCATCTTCTTTGACTCCCACCGTTAGTATCTTTGAACTGCCTTCTGGCCTGTAAAACCATGGAACGTATCTCTAACTCATGTACTGCAAGCCATAGAAGAGTCGAGGCAGTGCTGAAATACCATCTTTGTCCAATCTGTCACTCTCCATATCTGGATCGGACCATCATTTTCCATGCCTCCTTTTTGGTTGTTTGTTGGTTTTTTGAGGGGTGTTTTTGGTGTGCTGTCACCAGATGAAAATAGTGATACTGAAACACCAGCAACAGGGTGTGTTCTGACAGCACATGTCATAATCAGTCCTCGGACAAATTTTCATCTACTTTTTGTATCGGAGCAGATCTCATGCTTGCCCTTCTAGAACTAGGAATAGAGTTGGGACACCACTCCCAGAGAAATGTCATTTGCACCTGAAGGTTTTGTAGCTGCTTCAGATTGATGATTGGTATTGCAGAACTGTTCTACACCGTCTTGGGTTGTGAAACCCAGAAATGACATTTTGCAGTGTTGAGTTGACTGATACATGGCTGGAGTTGAACTGGGCTGTTGATACTTGTCGCTGCAGAAATGTGCATTATGTACAATTTAAAAACTCCGTCTGTGTCTCCCTGCTGCTTCCTCGCGCTCCCCCCCCCCCCCCCCCCCCCCCGCTCTTTGCTTTCC